TGTAACTGGCTGTTGTTCCTAGATTGTAAAGTTTATAATGAGTTTTAGTGATGTAATTCCTCATAGGAGATTACACGCTGTGTTAAACCCACATAAACTTTACTCTAGTGCTGTGCTTGGTACATTATTCTTCAGGGAATATGTTTTGTATATGTCTTTCATGCTTAGAAAGAATGGTACTTTGTTTTAACTGCTTAAAGAGCTGAGTGACCTGAAGCATATTGCTGCTAGCATGCCTTCCACTTTACTACAAGTGCCTCCGTTCCAAGCAGTCGCCAAACTCTTCACTGTTTAAAACATTATAAAATGTGCCTGTTAATTACTTATCAGTATGATGTCTGGCTTCGAAGTCATTGAAGCTTTGGCCCACCCCTGCTGTATGTTTTTTCTTATAAATAACTTGATTATGTAGTGTTTTGGCCCTTGCATGTTGTTTAGTTTGAAAAGTCATATAACTTGAAAAGTTGGAAGAGCGCATGCAGAATGAATTATTTCATGCTATAAATCAAACTACTTGCCAGGGACCTTGATTGGATGAAAAGCCCTTTATGCTCAGAAGCAACAATTTATATATCATTTTGCATATAAGACATTTTCTAGGTACATTTATGTTGACACATTACATATCCATTAAATACATTAAGACAGAGGTGATGGAATTTGTGCTGCATTCCATAATGCAGAAATACTTTGCAAAATGATTTCTTTTTATATAATTAATTTCAAGATAAAAATAAAGTACTGGTAGTCTACAGATTCCCAGAAATTTCCATCTCCAGGATTTTTACAGAAATTATGTTTTGTATCTGTTATTATTGCCTATATGTTTATTTATTTGGTAATAAATTCTTGCAGATAGCTAGAAACCATATGGAATGACATGGGTAATAAGTATTGTACATTTATTTATAACCTAGACATGTGCTGTATGTAAGATGGACCCAAGGATAATGTTTACTTTGGTTTGCCTATATAAGCACAAAGTATACTTTTTAACAAGATATGTATAACTTTTTAACACAAGTATACTTTTTAACCTAGATATGTGATGTATGTAACATGGACCTTAGGATACTGTTGTTTTTACTTTGGTCTGCCTATATAAGCACAAGTATACTTTTTAACCTAGATATGTGATGTATGTAACATGGACCTTAGGATACTGTTTTTTTACTTTGGTCTGCCTATATAAGCACAAGTATACTTTTTCTGCCTGCTCGTGTCATTATGTGTGTGCATGCAGAGGCAAGAAGGCCAGTGAATTTATTTAGTGCTTTGAGTAGGAAATAAAAAGTGGTATTGAGTGTGTTATATACATTGCTCAGTTATATGTATAGTAGTAGCGTTTGGAAATGTAACTTTATTAGAATTGGTTCCATGTCAAAAGTTATGAGCACTAATAAAATATCTGTGTTAAGATGGTATAGGGATTTAGTTTTTTTTGCTAAATTTCTTTTTCTATTATTCTGAATCCATAGGCAGCAGTGGGCTGTAATCTGTATATCTGTACCTCAGCATAGCGATATCCAAGTATAGAGTTTGTTCTCGCTTAGCCACTTTTTCTTAGCATGTTCCAGCAGTGTGCGCTAGAGAGGTATCATTCTATGTTAAGAATGTTTAATGACATGGCGAATTTGTAGCCATGAATGCCCTGGTGATGCATGGTGGGAGAACTGTTAACTTTTTGGAGCAGTTCCTTTTATGGATCTTCCTCAATGTCTTCCCGGTTAAGATTTCACTGTGAAAGATCTGTTTTCTCCTCCAGACATTGGGCCTAGGGGTTGGAAAAAAAAGGGTCGTCCCCCCCCCCCTACTGGGAGGTATTCTGGAAAATGCTGTCTGCTAAAGTCAAAGAGTGTCTTGCCTAGAGAAAACAGGTTGTGACTGTCCCTAACATAACACACAAACCTTTCCATGTTGTCCTGCCTTGGAACAAATTTCCAAAGCTCTGTAAATATCCAGCCATCATAGTCTGTTGTATAAAGGTACATAGAGCGACTTTATCAAATTTTAAGAGATTTGAACCTAGTTTGAGACTAACCATGTTTTGGGGGGATATCCTCATCTGCTCTCCAACGTCTTTTTCTATGTTGCAGTTTACAATGAACCAGTTCTTGTTTTGAGCTCACTAAAGTGACTGGCTTCTGCCCTTTTTACAACCTTTAAAAAAAAAAAGACACCTGGTTGCTGAATACTTTTCAACTTTTGCAGAAACTGGTAAAATAAGGGAAAAATATGTAAAATGTATAATAAAAAATTCTTTAAACACAGTTCTGGTACTTCTGTTGATCACTGCACTTTGCATGTGCATGCAAGAAAACGCATGTGTGACTATGATATGTAAAGTTTTGCAGAACTGCTTTATCACAACAAAGCCAGCCATACATGGATCGAAATTCGTCTGGTTCAGCAGGGACCAATCAACTTCTGTACAACCAGCCTGTCAGATTTTGCCTCCTCAAGCAGCGCCGCAGGCTATTGCTGGCAACGCTGATCAGTGTATTTTGCATCAAGTCTTTTTTTTTATGTTTATCCCTCTGGTTGAACGAAAAAAAAAAAAAAACTAATCTATGGCCTTATTAAGGTTTACAGTTTATTGCCCCTCATTACTCTTCAACCCTTTTCAAATAAAAATATTGCAACTCATCTTACCCACTTCTAGCTAGCTATCCCCTTTTATGTTTGTTACTGGAAAGCATTTTATAGCATAAAACCTGTCTCCTGAAAAAGAAATCCGGTGCTTGAATGTTAACTTAATTACGATAGCGGTCTTGTAGGCATGGGTAAAAAAGAGCGTTTCTCTGAAGAAAATATTGCTTCTTGCTTATACAATCTCCTAAAAAAAGTCAGCCCTTCTAAACTCTGTGCCCCCCAGTCAGCAAAGTCATAAAAATATGTATTTCACCCCCCCACAATAGTCTTTATTTATCTTAGCAAGACTGTTAACTGCTTGCCGCCCGCCCGCAATGTACAGACCATAGAGCTGATTAGAGGTGAGAATGGCTCTGATCATCTCTATGGTCTAAGAAACTGGAAGCTATGAGTAGTTCATCATTTCCGTTTCAGCAGATATTAACAGCTCCATTTTTAGATTGGGAAAGCATCTGATCACACCAATCTTGGTGTGATTGGATGTTTTAAGGACAGAGGAGAGATCTAAGTCTAGAGTCTAGTCCTTCTTCCTGTGCTCATGCACAAAGGCGAACGCAAGCGTCTGTCCCATGTTGGTATGTAAACAGAGATTGCACCATGCATGTGAGGTATCACTGCGAATGTCAGATCAAAGGCAGTAATTCTAGCACTAGACCTTCTGTGTAAATATAAAGTGGTGATCTGTAAAAGCTTTTAAAGCATCACCTATCGATAGTTTGTCACCATTGCACGGCCATGCGCAATTTTAAAGCATGTTATATTTGGTATCTATTTATTCAGCGTAACATCATCTTTTATATTTTATCAAACAATTGGGCAATATGTTGTGTTTTTGTGCATTAAGATTAAAAAAAAAGTGTATTTTTTAAACAAAATTAGCGTTTGAAAAATCGCCACGCAAATACTGTGTGATATAAAAAATTGCAACACTTACCATTGTATTCTTTAGGGCCATTGCTTTTAACCACTTCCCTACTGCCCTATAGCAGAACTACTGCTACAAGGCAGCAGGTCTGCACAAAATCGCGTGTATATATATATATATATATATATATATATATATATATATATATACATATACACGTGATTTCGCATTTCCGGGTAGGGGGCGCGTGCCGCCCTACCCGTGCCACCTGCAACTGTTGATCGCCGGCACCTGGCAATTGCCAAGGAAAACTGACAGGGGAAAGGTCTGTATGTAAACAATACAGATTTCTCCCGTCAGCACCAGCATGCTGCTTTGTATTTCTCTGCATAGCAGAGCAATACAAAGCAGCATGCTTACACAGTAAAACACACACAGCACAGTTAGTAAAACAGCACACAGCTTACCCTTTGATCACCCCAGCTGTTAACCCCTTCCTGCCCAGTGTCAATAGTACAGTGTCAGTGCTTTTTATTAGTACTGATCACTGTATTAGTGTCACTGGAGATGTCAGTGGCAGTTAGTTCCCCTCCAGTGTCAGAATGCCCGCCGCAGTCCCTCTATAAGTTGCCACCATTACTAGTATATACAAAAAACAATTCCAGTATATATACTGCCATTTTTGTAGATGCTATAACTTGCATGTAAATCAATTAATTTACATGTATTGAAAGTTTTATTTAGCAAAGACATGTAGCAGAATACCTTTTGGCCTAAATTTCTGCTGAAATTTGTTTTTTTAATTTTTTTTTACTTTTATATGTTTTATAACAAAAAGACAAATATAATGTTTTTTTTGTTTTTTTTTCAAAATTTTCAGGTTTTTTTTTGTTTATAGCGCAAAAAATATAAAAAATGCAGAGGTGATCAAATACCACCAAAAGAAAGCTCTATTTGTGTGAAAAAAAGGATATCAATTTCATTTGGGTACAGCGATGCATGAATAGCAAAAAATGGCCTGGTCAGGAAGGGGGGAAGGGGGTAAATATTCCAGAAGGCAAGTGGTTAAAGTAGCTTTATGTTAACATTTTAGTACAGGTCCACTGTTTCTTTTTCAAGGTGACAGCATTTTTTGTTTGCAATTACAGTGTCATGGTTATGCTTCTTGAACTAATGAACTGAAGACTTGGCACCCCCAGATTTAGACCCAGTAAAGTAGCAATATTTAAAGAACCCCAATGTTTCCCAGTGTAACAATAAAATGTTACTATCAGCAATGTTAAGGTGTGGGTGAACTCTGTCAATTCTGATGTGATGCAGTTACTGTGCATGGACAGATCTAATTATCTATCTATAGAAAAAATAGCTGGATGAGATGCACACTTTTCTTTGCGTTGGAGTGGATTGAATCCATGTTTCAGACTTCAATTTGTCAAATATTCTTGAGTTTTCAGTCATATGCATTTACTTTTTCTCCTTTCAGGATGAAGGTATAGCGAAAGATGAGAAGAATCTTAAATCCGATGATCAGCTTCAGAAGGAAGGCTTTGATTTCAGTAGTGATAGTGATGATGAAATAAATGATGGTTCAAGGAAGAAAAGTAGCATCTCTGCAGGTGCAGACCGTGGTAAACAGCTTACATTACAGCAGTGTGGTTTTTCAAGATTGCTTGAGGGAGCACTTGGTAATCAAGACAAGAAATCTGAAAAAGGCTCAAAATTTACTGGGAAAAAAAAGAGGAAGTGGTCATTTGAGCTTGAATGTATCATCTGATGAAGATGCAGAGCCAGTAGTAAAAAACAGAAGACAGATTTTAGAAGATGTCATCGAAACTAATAGCAGCTCAGATGAAAGTGATATTGTTTTTTCCCACCCAAGCCAATAAAAGCGATTTATCTAAAAAATCTTCCAATAATACTAGAGTCATGCCACAATCTAATGAATCATTAAGTTCAGATTTTGAATGTGACACTACAAAAAAGAAAACAAGGAACCTAGCGGACTGTAGTAGTGACCATATCAGTGATGAGTCTGATGACATTGCAATACCATCTGTACCTAATTTTTCGAAACAAAAAAATACTGTATATGCCAGCAAATGCGATATAGAGAAAAATTCACAGGTAATAGATGCTTTTTCTTCATCTGAAGCTGATGACCATTATGACGATAAAAGGTGTTCTCACCATCCTGAGCAGACAGGCAAAACCACAATATACGATGATTCAAATTCAAACAGATCAACAAAAAGATTTAAGTCGATAGTTCACAGAAAATACTCCAGAATAAGTAAGGATGACAGTGCCGCTGATAATAGACCTGTCAATCAAAAAGAAAATCTGGGGTCTTTGGATGGAATTTTAGGTAAGTGCTTTATAGTATTGCCCATAGGCTATCTGACATTTAATTTCAATGTATAAATAAGCTGCCTGAAATAACATACGTATTATACAGTATAGCTTGTATATTTAAGCTGCCTGAAATCCTGACCTATTGTACTTCATGGCCCTATACATATTAGCTGCACATACTGGCCAATTATACTTCATGGTCTTTTTTATGCCTTCTGCCTACACATGCACATTATACTTCATGACCTTAAAAATAACTGCCTGGCAATACTGACATATTATACATTGGAGGAGATTTACTAAAACTGGAGCACTCAGAATCTGGTGCAGTAGTGCATGGTAGCCAATCAGGTTCTGACTTCAGCTTGTTCAATTAGGCTTTGTCAATAAAACGTGGAAGCTGATTGGTTTCTTTGCAGAGCTGCACCAGATTTTGCACTCTCCAGTTTTAGTAAATAACCCCTTTATGTTCTTATACATATTAGCTTATACTGACACATTATACTGTTTGGTCATAGATAACCTGTCTCAAAATACTGATACAGTATGTTATGCTTTTTGGTCTGAAAATGTATACATCTTCATCTTAACATTCTTATTCTGTATATATCAGCTGTCTGAAAATAATGATATACGCTTTGTTGTATCTTTGCTACTTGCGTTCTTTACACACCATAAAATATTATTTTGGTTCACTTATCAGCAGTAGATAGTTGCTAATAGATGTTTTGTGCACTATGTGTGATAAATAGCTTCTAGTGTTTTAAGTTACTAGTATTGACATGCAACTGTAACGGCTGTGCTCCTCAGCTATTGTTAGATTGAAGGCTAAGTTTTATTGGCCCAGCCACAAGACTGCAGAAGTTGGGCTAAATAAACTTGCCTGGAGTTGGACTTTAAAGTGACCCTGTCACCACTTAAAACTCTGCTGCTTATTTAATTAAAATGTATGAAATAAGCACTTACTAGTGCCTATTTTAGTATACTGATTCATACTGATATACTGATTTATCCGTATAGGGGTGCTGCAACTTTCTTCCACTTTCCACACTTCTAGTGGAATTTAAAGGTGAAGGTTGTGTGTGATGGTGCACCTACATACTGCCAGTGACGGGTGAATAAAATGATTTGAATAAGAAAATGTATATACCAATGTCATTCATTTTCATTATAAAGCACTGGAAGTTTTACAAGCAGTGGCCAGCAGCCTCAATGATGTTAGAGCCAAAGGTGAAGAAAGAAAGCAGTGCAGACTGTCTTGTTGAGAAAGCTCCTGACACTTCCAAAATGTCAGAGGTGAAACAAAAATGCAGCTCAATGTATTTAAAAACTCCAAAGAGAAGGTGAATTTCATAATTTAAATTATGTTTTTTTTTTCCACAGAATTTTTGATTCTGTTCATAACGCTTATGCTACACTGCCAAGATGACAACTCTATTTACTGGTTATACTTTATGGACTGGCAACAGTCTCATTAAGTAGCTTGTATGCATACACAAAAAATACAGTCACCTGTCACATTGTGGTTTAATCATGATCCCTGATCCCAACAAAATCTTTGCCCAACCTAAAATGAGACAAGGTCCCTACTTAAAGTGGTTTTAAAGGCTCAAAGTTTTTTACCTTCATGCATTCTATGCATGAAGGTAAATAACCCTCTGTGTGCAGTGCCCCCCCAATCCTTACCTGAGCCCCCTCCTATCCAGCAATGTTCACAATAGCCTTGGCTGTATGGGGACTCTCCCTCCTCATTGGCTGAGACAGAAGTGGTAGCCCAGTGGCTCCCACTGCTGTTGATCACAGCCTGGGAGACAATGAGGGGGGGGGGGTGGAGCCAAGACTCTGTATCTTATGGACGCAAAGAGCAGCGGCTTGGGAGTGAGCATACAGTGGTACCCCCAGGGTAGCGGTTTTCTCTGGGGGCACTGCTCAAGAAGGAAGAGTCAGGAGCACCAGTGGGGGACCTGAAAAGAAGAAAATCAGGGCTGCTCTTTGCTAAACTACTGCATGACATGTTGGTATTTAAAAAAAAAAAAAATGAAGTTTTAGTGTCACTTTAACTTAATGATAGTTTTTTTTGCTTAGAGGTCCCCCCGCTTTTTTTTTCTTTTTAACTTTCCACTCTTTTGTTCATAGGCATTCTCACAGAGCTGTGAGAGGGAAGCAGGTGGTATTGAGACAGCTAGCCTGTTCAGGTGATTTGTCTCCTTAACTTGAAATGCTGCCACCACAGCTGTTAGTGGTGATGTATTATAACTAAAAGGACCTGTTGACACCATGAATAGGTACCTCAATAATAATGCTGGGACATGCTGCACTTTGTATTTATTTTATTTTTTTTTTACAACGTACAAGATCTTTAACAACTTTAATGTTTGATGGTAGCTCACTGCACTATTACTATTTTATCCTTACTGCATAGCAATAATAAAAATTGGTGCTTTGAAAAGAACTGTTTTGAATTACTTTGCAGAAGCACCTAATAGTGAATTTGTAAGCTTTCTCTCAATGCTAGTTACTGCATGTGTTTTATTATGTTTCACATTTTTCCTTCATAGATGGCGTGGCTGAAGTTGCTTATATTCATTCAAATCAAAATGTGGTTGGTTCAAGCAAAGCTGAGAATCACATGAGTCGCTGGGCAGTGCATGATGTATTTGAATTGAAACAGTTCTCCCAGCTTCCTGCCAATATTGCTTCCCATGACCTGGAGGTAAAGAGACTGCTTAAAACTTCTATGGTTTGTTTTTTTATTTGTTTATGCTTTGTTAAAATTGAGTTACATCAAGCCCGATTTTGAAATCTTGCGACTTACAGTGAAGTCACACGATTTCAAAGTCAGGTGACTTGCCAATTTCAGGTGCAATTTGCAAGACATCTGACACAGATGTCTATGCAAATCGCACCAAAGGTAGTGTTGTTATTAGGTCCACCTTGCTAGTACTGTGTTGTACCGCCTTTTGCCTTCAGGGCTGCCTTAATTGTTCGTGGCATAGATTCAGCAAGATGTTCCACAGGGATTTTGGTCGATATTGACATGATCACATCACACAATTGCAGCAGATTTATTGGGCTGCACTTTCATGAGCTGAATCTCCCGGTCCACCACATCCCAAAGGTGCTCTATTGGATTGAGATCTGGTGACTGTGGAGGCCATTGGAGTACAGTGAACTCCTTGTCATGTTCAAGAAACCAGTTTGAGATGATGTGAGCTTTTTACATGGTGCATTATCCTGCTGGAAGTAGCCATCAGAAGATGGGTACACTGTGGTCATAAAGGGATGGACATGGTCAGCAACAATACTCAGGTAGGCCGTGGCACTTAAACAATGCTCAATTGGCCCAAAGTGTGCCAAGAAAATATCTCCAACACCATTACACCACCAGCTTGAGCCATTGATACAAGGCAGGATGGATCCATGCTTTCATGTTGTTTACACCAAATTCTGACCCTACCGTCTGAATGTCGCAGCTGAAATCAGACCAGGTACTGTTTTTTTTCAATCTTCTGTTTTCCTATTTTGCTAAGCCTGTGCGAATTGTAGCTTCTTTTTCCTGTTCTTAGCTGACAGGAGTGGCACTCGCTGTGGTTTTCTGCTGCTGTAGCCCATCTGCTTCAAGGTTCGATGTGTTGTGCGTTCAGAGATGGTATTCTGCATATCTTGGTTGAAACGAGTGGTTATTTGAGTTACTGTTGCCTTTCTATCAGCTCAAACCAGTCTGCCCATTCTCTTCTGACATCAACAAGGCATTTGCGTCCACACTACTGGCGCTCCCTGGATATTTGCTCTTTTTGGGACCATTTTCTGTAAACTCTGGATATGGTCATGCATGGAAATCCCAGTAGATCAGCAGTTTTTTTAAAATACTCAGACCATCCTGTCTAGCACCAACAACCATGCCACGTTCAAAGTCGCTTAAATCCCCTTTCTTTCATATTCTGATGCTCGGTTTGAATTTCAGCAAGTTGTCTTCACTATGTCTAGATGCTTAAATGCATTGAGTTGCTGCCATGTGATTGGCTGATTAGCAATTTGTGTTACCAAGCAGTTGAAAAGATGTACCTAGTAAAGAGGCCGTTGAGTGTATACCCATGGCGTGTGAGCAATATATCAAGTGACAGCTTTGTGTAAAAAAAAAAAAAAATAGATTTTTTGAAAAACTTATAGTAAAAAATTCATTCTTCTATGGACTGAACATGCCTCTCAGCAAATAGCTTAGGGTTTCTACTTTCCGAAAAGGGGTCAGTTGTGCTATCCTCTTAGAAAATACCTTGGAATGTCTACATTACAAAAAAGGGGTCATTTTGGGGTGTTTTAAACTATTCTGTACTATTTCATGGCCTCCAAAAATGTAATAGGTAGTGAGGAAGTGAAATGAGGAAATTATGCACCAGGCTTTTAAAGGGGTCATTGGATTTTGGGC